GGGGGGTTGGAGGCCGCACCGTAGGAGATACGGACTAAAGATGCAGGATAAAGAGCAAAGGCTCTAGAAGAAGCAGAAAGGATCGGTAAAACGAAGCTTTGCGCCGAGAGTCGTATATATTCTCTATATATACATTCAGAAGATGGTTGGAAATATCATTTTTCGTTGTAAATATCTTAAACCTTTAGAAAGACTAGCTTGTGAGCCAACAAATACAAAGAAGCAACAATAGAAATTGCTTTAAGTAACAACATACCTTTCTACAATTTTTGCATGTCTGCGTATTATAATGATTAATTATGTTTCGATTTCTATCAAGACTTATCCAGCAGGATACGCTCAGAAGTGAATAATTAATATCTCCTGCAAATAGCAACGATATTTTTAAAAACTACCGTTAACAAACACGAATAACTATTACACTGCTATATATTGTTCCAAAATTGATATTTTGTTTTGATGGTGCGATTAAAATTGATCTCGCCGTGTATCGTTAAATGAAAATTGATTATAAAACCTAAACTCTTTTCTCTCTCTTATGCAATTTTACACGCCGCGAAATAACGTACACGCGATTGATCTCTTATCGCTCGTGGTTTTTTCATAACGGCATGTGTCAACCTTCCCATGTCACGCGGGCAAATATTTGTCGAATTCATAACAAAAACACGTTTCAATGGCACGCTCCATATGAAACTCAGACAGCGACGAAATTTATACCTTGTGCAGCCATTTGTGTATGTCGCATAGTATTGCCATATATTTACTACGTGCCTGTACTACTGTCGGATGCAGATGTGGGCTATATGCTGTCGACGGTCATGAAATGATTAAATTAGAAGTAAATAGAGAGACACATTGTGATTGCAGAAAATACAAGCATGTTCGAATAGTTTTATTTGTGCTATAGAAATTAAATTCATTAAATCATTCATTTATTTATCGAATCATTAATCCTGTTTTTTTACGAAACTTTACGAAACGCTGCATATGACAGGAATTAATTATCACCTTGAGCAACGTTGGTAATACCGAAACAAAAATCCAATACTGAGCGTCGATCTATTATCGAAAACTATTTTGGTCACGAGAACTTAATTTATAACGACGTTATGATCATTAAGGAATATGCTGTCAGAAAAACTGTAGTTTTTATGTACGTGACGTTCATTTATCTAAGAGGACGAGCTGATATCTACAAGCTGCTATCGAACTTAAGCATATTTCTTGCTATCACCGTCTTCGTTTCATAATTTACATCAGATCCATAATGTTCTTATTTAAGAATACGATATCTATTCTTATGCGCGACTGAAAGTATGAGCAAAAATATGAAATAAATTGCAATTGTGTTACAACATATTTTTTATCATGTACAGTTGTATCTATATTACACAATATTTCGTGTCATGGAAAATTAAATATTTAGTCTGCGATTGCTTGATATCTTTTTCCATAAGGGTGACACATTGTGTATAATATGATATGATGTAACATACTATGGTATCATGTTAACAAAGCGGGCAGTTTGTAAAATTTAAAATTTAAATAAATGGATATAGCGAAGTTTTAATTTATGCATATTTAAAAAAGTTGTTATGCATCATTCAAAAGTGTTACTGCCATCCTATCCGGCAACTTAAACGACACGCGTGTATATAATACATACACATATACAAAATGTTAATTCCTAATTTTCTAAAAAATTCAGTATTGCAAAGTAACCCGTTTAATAATATATGTATAAAACATGCAGGGGCGTGTATAAAACTGTTATGAAAAATGAATATTTTTTATTTGTCTTATAATATTTACTTTTGCTAAGAAATCAAATGCTCCAATTATATATTTTTTAAAAAAGAAAAACATTTTGCATATATATAACATTTCCACAGTACTAAATTGTTGCGCGTTACAGCATTCATGATGTAATCGATGTACGCAACTCGATATGATACAAGAAAAACATTCGCTGAACTGAGTTTCCGAAAAGCAAACACTATTCCAATTCCGCGTATGAGGGAGTTATAGCTCAGCAACGCTATGCAGCTTGCGAATATTTGGCCATTGCGCGTATCTCTCATATCGAATCTCGTAGCAATGAGAAAAAATAAAAAGGGAAATATATACGTCACGTGACGAGCACGTTATCATCGTTGGTAACGAGATTCTATCCCGTAGACAGGACCTAATCCGTATGTAGCATGATAGATGCGGTTACGCGACACCGCATCGCGCACAGGTTGCAGGTTTCTCCCGTTCTCCCTTATCCATGGCTTTTTATTTCGAGCGTGTTGGTTCCGAAGAGTGGCCGCGGAGCCCCTTAAATTTCGCCCTTTGTAACCCCTCCCTGTCGACGACCGGAGGCCGCCGTTGCCTTGAGCGAACTTAACACCCCGGTTATTCGCTAGAATTGATTCCGGGTGAGGTGGAACGAGAAAGTCAGTGTTTATTCAGGAGCTCTGGAGAACCACGAGATGGGTGAGATTGAAACCGAACTATTTTCAATCGAAGCTGCCCGCTCTTCTCGTCTCTTCGAACGAACCCCTTTCTGCATATTGCAAATCGAATTCCATCTGTGCTCGATATCTCCTCGTAATCTGTCTGTTTGGCAGCACCTACCGTCTTATCGCGATTCACATCGAATTATTGATTGCCGCAACGATTTATTTCAACTAACAAATCACGAAGAAACCCTCGATCTCGCGAATGACTCCACTGTTAGAAGTCGCCTTCAGGTTTCATCTAACAAAAAAGTATTCATCCGTGAATCCAACAAATACGAGGAATTGTTTGTTGCGTTACATATATATTATTCAAGAAATTTGCATTTCATATATTTTTTATAAGGGATCGCGAATCTTTCCATCTGATTTTAAGAAACTTGATATATTCGTCGAAGATAAGAAAATTTTGACACGTATTTTCTCTTTTCTGCTGTCAAGAGAAAAACATTATAAAGTAAATTTGCGCATCGTGTGGCGAATAAATGAAATCTCGGAACAACCGATGTAATGGGGAAGAGAACGCTAGTAAAGGGGAAATGCTAAGCTTATCGTCGGTGCCGTAAGTTTTAACTAGCTATATACCGAGCAAGAGCAATGAAAACCGAGGTATTAACGCAAATAATAAGACCAACCGTAAATGCACACAAGAATTTAATTAGTTCCTAATTAACTCGGCAAATAAAGCGAGTTTCATCGCTGAAAACATCATCATGATACCACGCGCATCATTTCTATGTAGAAAATAATTTAGTAAGCCATTCCAAATACAAGCTGCTTTTTGACACTTTATAATGTGCTTCCTAACTATATTAAATATTACATAATGTTTTGCAGAACGGCAAATGGATAGAACATTTTTTTGAAATAAAAAATTTTGATCCGTTTATATAAATGTACCAACTTTCGAAATATACGAATAATAAAAAATATATTTATTACACGGAATATCAATGAAACAAATTTTAGAAAAACAAGCATGTGCAATAAAATAAGATAAAGAATTTTATGACTTTTGAAAGTTCGGTTGAAAGTTTATAAACTCTCTGCCATTTTCTTTCCAGAATGGGATATACGTAAAATTTCTGAATTAAAAGAGAGAAAGACCGGTGCATTGTTTACGTCAAATTTTTCACATTTATGATGAACATTGAATTGAGCAAATAAAAAAATTTATTATAGGAAACTTTAATTTCTTAAAATAACGTAATATAATTTCTGTATCAATATCACATAGTGTTAAAATGTATATTACTAATTTTATAATATACATACATTCTGCGATTTTAATGTGTTTTGCCTACATACAAACTAATTTTTAGAAATGACATCTATTTAATAAGTTCTCCTTTTTCTTTGTCCGCAAAATTTTTTACCATCGTGTAATATAGCACATATATATACATAAAGTCTAGTGCAATTTGAGAGAGAAGTTTTACAAAAAATGCGCGTCGGAAGCAGAAGAAAAGAAGCGAACGTAACGACGCCGGCGGTGCACGAAAAGCACGGAAACGTTAATCTCGTTTCGTACACTCATAATTTCTCGCGCGCATTACTTGAAGTAACGCTTACTTTCGCGAGAACGAAAGAACTTGAGCCGTGTACGGTTAATTAAACGTCGCCTCCAGTGCCGCGAAATAAATCACGCTGTCCACAGCTTGGTCCTGTGCGTAGTCGGTGGCGTCATCATTGGATGACATATTTTCTTTACTTCAACAATACTGATAAGCCACAGTACTTGCATCATATCATAGAAAAAGCTTCGCGTTATTCGTGTATATCTATTCATCTTTTAATTGCACAGTTTTATTAATAAAATAATACGTTACAACGATAAGAAAGCTTGATTTATTTTACCTAAAATGTGCACATACATATATTTAATAATTATTTCTCATAAAAATAAATCTTCCGTTAATTTCTGGTTTATAATTTCTCTTCTCATTAAAAAATAGTCGCCGTTTTGAGTGAACTGGTTTTTTTCATCCGCTCTGGGAATACTATTATTTGCGGCGTGCTCGTGTTAAAAAGAAGAAACAGGCGCCATGAGATATGCGGCAAGGCGCCGAGAGGTCGTTGAAGGAGCAATGCTCGGGGTCACGGTTGCGAGTGATACCACCGTATCATAATCGTAATGCCAATTAACGCGCGTCGAACGCGTCGTG